CGGGGGGGGGGGAAATGTTCCCTGTGGGTGCCCGAATGGGCACAGCTCAGATACACGCCTGGCTTCGCTGTTTCTGTGTGCCCCAAAACATTAATGCATCCCTGGCAGTCCAGGCGGGCGGTTCATTTTGTTTCTAAACAAGTTGCGAGGGAGGGTTAGCACATGAGGGGACACCTGGCTGCTTTCATAGAATCATAGAATGCTTAGGGTTGGAAGGGACCTCTAGAGATCATCTAGTCCAACCCCCCTGCACACGCAGGGTCACCTAGAGCACGTGGCACAGGACTGCGTCCAAGCGGGTTTGGAAGATCTCCAGAGAAGGAGACTCCACAACCTCTCTGGGCAGCCTGTTCCAGGGCTCTGTCACCCTCACTGTCAAAAAATTTTTCCTTAAGTTCCTATGGAATTTTAAGAGATCCAAAGAAATCCAGGAGCATGGAGCCAGAGCAGAGCGGATGTTTTGTTTACAGTGGATTTTATCTTGCATCGCTGGGTGGTGTCAGCTCAGAAACAGCACAGTGCAGCGATGGATGTGGTCCGAATGCGTATTCGCTAGCACCTGAACGCCCCACCACGCACTCATGCAGTCACTGTAGGAGGGCTAGTTGCTGCTGCCTTACGGACTTGAGGGCGAGCTGTTTGCTTTCGTGTTTGTATGTTGACCTTTAGAAGCAAAAAGCAGAGTAAAGTTCAGGATTAGAGGCTAAATTTTCCAGTCGGCACTTGCCTGCTTTTTGAGAGCCTTTCATGGAAGGGGAGAATGAAATGCAGAGTTTATATCCCAGGACAAGCCTTTTCTGAGTATCTTCATATCCAGTCTAAACACATGGGTGACAAAATTCTGGCAAGCAGAATGCAAATAATTATCCCTGATGGGAATTCCTACTTCCTTCTAGTGGGAAAGTACTGATGAGAACTGAGTCAGATTTTTCCTGTAAAACTACGAAGGTTTACTAGCCTACGGCGGCCAAATGGACATACTCTAAGTAGATGGGCTATGTTGGGTGTCTTTGGTATAGGAGCTGAAGTTGGAAGAGACCTGAGATTGTTGAGAATCCATGGACCAAAACAAGAAGTTTACTCAGATTCAAATACCCCTGTAGAAAGTGAATTTCTGAAAAAAAAACAACTAAATAATCTAAACAATAATCTTAAAATGAGTGTCGAATTATGGAGCATCTCTTTAGCTGTCACCTTGTGGACGGTGCTGAGGCAGCACATCTCTATGGTGCTTCTGAGCATCATAGAGTTAATTTAACCACTGAGTTAATTTACAGCAAAGCCAACAATATCAAAATGAAACCAAAGATTCAGCCAGCGCTTCTGGGAAATGCTGACTGCATTCTATGATTTCTCTTTTAATTACCAAAGCAGAAATTGATTGCATGAAAAGGAAGGGCTTGAAGGAAGTTCATAGGTCAGCAGCCCGTCAAGGTCTGCAGACATGTCATGTTAGGCCCCATAAGAGAAAAAAAGTCTTTTACTTAGACTCGATGCAGGCACTAAGCCTTGAAACCACAGGCAGGTTTAAGTGCAACATGGTCATAAACGTAGGTGTCCAGAAAACTTCACTACAGAAAACTTGGAGGGTGATTCAGAGAATCTAAAGTTTGGGGTTCAGTGCCCACAAGGAGGTATGACTTTTGGGTATAGTTAATTTTGTTTTTCCCTGTTGTACATCCCTGTTGTAACTGGGATGCTTTAACAAGTACCAGGGATTGGTAAATGGCAATCCTAGGCAGAACAAAAAGATGCATCTTTTTCACTTTGTATATCTCTCTCTCTTCAATTTCTTCAAAATGCTTGAACTTATTTGGAGGCATTTTGATTGGCAACATTTTTTTCTTAGAAAAAAAGATAATAAAACTTGCAAATAATTATATGCCTGTTCTGCTAATGTATTTTTTTTGTTCTACTTTGCTTTACAGCATTTGTATTCCTTTACGTGGTTACAAGTTTAAAGGTTGCATGACAACAGGCATTGTTATCTCATATGCCATTTCTTGAGAACAGACTGGATTGCTACCTTAGGTTTGCAAGGAAGCATAGAAAACGTGAAATTTTAAAGCAGGTAAAAGTGCTATGGATTGGTAGCTAAAGTCAGCAGCAGAGAATGGAGAACTCGTTTAGGATTTCAGTTTTTACTTTGAGACACAGAGCTAGGTCACTGAATTTTTTTTTTTTACTCAGGAACTCAAGTGATTTATTACTCATGTAAATCAGTTACCTTGTGTTTTTTTTTTCTCCAACCATAAAGCAGAAATGATAGTACTTTTGCACTTTCTACTTGTGGCATAAGACTAAGTAAGACAGTTTTGTGTAATTTTTGCACACTGTCATACTGTTCTGTAAATAAAAAATGAAACTTCTTATGCATTCCGTTACCCTTTCTTTTCTGTGTGTTGATCTCTGATTGAATTAATATGAAAATAAATAATCCTTTCTTACCAGAACTGCATGGAAAGATTAAATGTAAAGGGAATATCACAATTAAGCTGTTGGTGATTTTGAATATTGGCTATTCCAAGTGAGTAAATAAGGTATGCTCAATAAAAATCCAAAGCAAAGATGGGTATAAGGTACATTAACATTGAATCACAAACAATTGATCCTTATTTGGCTATTTATATTTGCTTTAGGGCAAATGGAGAGAAAATGGGAAGAAAGACTGAAGAAAGTTGAAGAACTAGCATCTTACTATGAAAGAAACCCTCTTCTTCCAGTTTACAGACCAAAACTGTCCAAACCTTTTCAACCATCCCCTGTTTGGAAAATATTTTGTCGTCAGGCTGAAGCCTTTCACTATGTAAAAAACTGTGAAGAGGTAAATTCTTTATTGAATGTCTCTACTCTTTGAGTACTTTACATACTTCATCAAAAAGTCTGGTTAACTGTAAAGTCTTTAGATCTTACAGGATTTTTGTTTTGAAATCCTGAAACAACAAGTAATTTTTAAAAATATTTGTAGGAGATCATGATGCACTGAGGATAACTATAATAAGTACTGTTCTAAATTTCAACAACTTAGGCACTTTTTGGCAACTTTGTACTGATAGATTGATTCCCTCTAAGATAAGCAAAGATGGCAAGAAAATAAGAAAGAGTCAAGTAAGAAGAAAGGAGAAAATATGAGAGGACACAGGAAAAACTGGAGGAAGACACTTAGCAAAATAAAAAGAACACACATTGTGTTACAGAATTTGTAAAGTATAGCAAACTATATATAATCAAAACGTACATAACTCCTTAATAAAAACCTTGTGCAGAATACTTGTGCGCATTGAGCAAGCATTTGGAAGGAAAGGCTCAACAGCAAGAGAAACTATTTTTAGTATTTAGTCACTTAAAATGATGCACACTTAAATGTCCTGCTGTCACAGATTTCCTGTATTGGTTTTGGACTAGGCAGTTTTAATCTGCTGCTAGTTCCCACTTTATTTTGTCCCATGATGTAGGAGATGCAGGGGCTATTATGTTAAGAGTGTAAAATATCCAGATACTGTGGGGGATTTTAAATAACTCAAACTGATAGCGGTTCTCTCAGGCTCTTTCAGACTGTTCTGACAGTTGTTTTTCCTAAATATATTCTCACCAGCTTGTCAGGCTTTGTTTTTCTTTTCTTTTGTGTGTGCTCCTTTTTTGTTTTTTTGGCTTTTAAATAATATAGAATCTAAGGAATATTTGTTACAAAGCCTCATTCAGCCATCATATCAGTGAGACCATTCTTTTCCAAATGTTGTTTTTCCTTCCATCGAATGGTCAGGAAAAAAAAATATTATATTGCAAAAATAGTTTACATTGATGTAAATTTGTGATAGCTTTGTTAAATCTCAAATTCTCCAAATTTATGAACATATAACTGAAATTAGTAAGAAGTTTCTAATTAAAAACAGTTGCTTCAGTGAAAAAACAGTTACTTAGAAAAGGTTAGCTGATAAATTATTAATAATGTCAAATGGGAAAATATGAAAATTTTAATTAATTGCCTAAATAAAGTGACTTAGCTTTTTGTTTGCATAAAAAGGATGTTCATGTATTTGCCTTGGAGAAGAACACACAAAATGGACAGCGATTTTACCTGGTGACAACGTACTGCGAGCTTTGGTTTTATTACACGTAAGTATTCAGAAAGGAGCCCTCTATTCACGGGGTGTCAGTCACTTCAGCTGTGGCTAGCACAGAGCTGTAACTGTTGCCTCAGCTTTGGTCACAGCCTGACGCACGTTCCAAGTATATGATGTATCATATATTGACCTGATGATGTATCATTTAAACTGACACATCACATCACATGATGACTCATGTGTCAGTTTAAATGCAAATTAGTATAAATGACTGATTAAAAACATTTGGTTTTGCTTTTAGTTTGTGGACAGTTTCAGGTATTGACAATCTGATCATGTGCAGAAAGTTTTTCTTTTTTTTTCTTCCACAATAAAACATCTGGTTATGAGGCAAAAGAAATCTAACTTTTATTGTTATTGTTAGAACTGTAAACTTGATTTTTTTTTCCTCAACATGAATATGGGAATGTTTTTCTTTTTTTTTTAATAATTTAGTATAAAAATGTAAATAAATGTATTTTTAGTGCTTAAGTCATAACAGTGATATTCTATGCCATCTTTTTACTGTAGTTTCCATCATTCCTTAAATTCTTGACCATACTTCTGTTGGCAGTACATACTGCCTATACATATAAATATAAATAAAATACATACATAATAATTTATATATCTATGTGTATATATATATAAATCCTAGACCACACATCAGCAAATTTTCTAAAGTTAATTACATTTTTTCATAGAAGTATAGGACTTGCATTAGTTTAGGACGGCTAGTTGATTAAAATAAAAAGATATTTAGTCTTGTGAGGCTCTTGTCTGCGCTTACAAAGCATGTGCCACGCTTATTATGAGAACCTGTTGCTTTTGTTTTTCCTTAGCAAAGATTATAAAACAAGTCTGATGCATTGCTATGAAGTAATTCCGGAAAAAGATGCTTGTAAACTTTATTTTGATTTGGAGTTCTACAAACCATCAAATCCTGAAGCTGATGGCAAGAATATGGTTGCAAAGTTAATTAAGGTAAAACTAGAATAAAGTCAGTTAATCATGTGTAGGTTTAATATGAAACTGAACTATTTACCACTTTTTTTTAAATTATTCTGTTGTAAAATAATAACAATAATAAAAAGATGATGTAATTAGTGGGTGTTTTTAAGGAAAAGTGCTTTAAATGACAGGGAAAAGCCGAGGATGATGGTTGTTGGAAGGTTTGTACTCGCGATAGGTTTCATTGACACGCTGATTTTGTTTTAGAGTCACACTGTTGGTCTTTGTGCTTAAGCCACTTAAGGCTTAAGTACATCCCTCCTAATTCTAGGCAGTTCCATTATAGATGATTTAAATGGGTATGTAGAGAACCTCAGGTGACTGCACTCAGCATTTTGGTACTCACTGGTCTGTTTAGCCTCTGCCTTAGGCTTAAGTTAAGCCTGTCTTAGACGTAACATCACTGGTGGTTCAATGACACTTGAGGACAAAGACAAGTAGATAAAGCCACTAAATTAGACTTCGAGCTGAAAGACTGAAAATTTGTCCATCTTAGCAGTGTTAGTACATTCAGTCACCTGCTCAATTCAGGAGGGACGATCTATGTCACATTTTGGTTACATTTGGAAAGTTTCGAAATTTTGTGGCTAGTTTGATGTAACCAATTGCTTGCTCAAAATGAGAAAGTGAAAATAAAAAGTAGAATCTGCATTTGTGTTAGAATTTGGACATCTTTATTAAAAATGCTAGAGAAAATAGCCTCATTCATGTTTATAATTTTCAGCTTGTCAGCAAAAAGCTAGAAGAAATCTATGATGTTAACTGTTCATCCAAAGATGTCTTGAATTTAGATTCCAGTACTGATGAAAAATTTAGTCGACACTTGATATTTCTACCCCACAAGACTGCATTTAAGAATAATATCCATGTTGGTAAGTGTGTTCTTTTCTCTTACAAACTAAAAATAAAAGGTGAGGTTTTTGCTGGGTTGTAGTGCCTTGTGGCATTTGAATATTTATTTTAGCAGAATTATATGGAAGCAAATATGTGTTCCCAGCAAAATGACTACATATTTGTATTTCATTATGCCTCAGTATTATTTGGGTCATCTTTTAATTTCATTTTCTATGATTAACCTGTTTGTTCATAAAAATGTAACCTCTGTATATGTCTATATGTTGTATTTACACAGATGCTGCTAAGATTAGCTTTTATAGTACAATTGCATGATTTCCAGATTAATATATGTCTTAATCCTTAAAATCATTAGCCGGTTTATGCTCGGCACAGGGTCAGAAAGACAGGGCAAAAGCAGCTTCAAGCCTTGCATAAACACGATTTTTTTTTTTTAAAAAAAGCAGAAAACAATTTAAGTTATTGATATAAATTGGGATGTTTCATGGGGTATAGCAGCTACAACACACACAAAAAAAGGCAGTTTGGGACGCCATTTGTAGAATAATATCTCTCAATTCAGAGAGTATTTTGAATTTACTCCAAAATACTGTTTGTGAAGCACTGAGGAGTAAGTGATGAGCTAAAGAACTCAATGTTCAACTTTACAGTTGCTTCTCAACAAATTTTCTATGGTGTGCAGTAAAACTTGTGCCCATTGAACAATTAAGACACAGCAGAATATGAATTCAGCCTTGTCTGGATGAAGCAGGAGCTGATAGAAAACAGCTTGCCCAGGGATGGAATTAAAACCTGAGTCGCCTTGCAAATGCAAGCAGCTTTGTTATGCACCTGCAACCTTGATTTTTGGCATTTCACAGAATGGTTGAGGTTGGAAGGGACCTCTAGAGATCACCTAGTCCAACTCCCTGCTGCAGTGGGGACACCCAGAGCACGTGGCACAGGGTGGCATCCAGGCGGGTTTTGGTGATCTCCAGAGAAGGAGACTGCACAATTGGAGACTCCATATTTCCTAATATGTGAGTGCTTAATTCTGAAACCTTTGTTCCTTATTGTGTTTATTTTTAAAATTTGAGGAGAGAAGGAAGTAGAAGTGCTGTCATATGGCACTATATGAATAATCCCAGGGGTTACTAGCAGGGATGGAATTTAGCTTTGTGACACTGAGCTCTGCTGTTCCTGTTCAGAAGTAACTGAGTGCCAGAATAAAATTATGTCCTTTGCTAAGTTTCCAGTGGCAGCAGAATAGTGGAAAGAGTTGTGTTTATTGCTTTGATAACTTCAGGTCCTTTTCTGGTTCCTGCTTTTATTCTCGTCTGTTTGGCTGTCTTCAAGCCCAGTCTTGCTTTCTCACTTTCATCTTCTTTATTCACTAGTTCCAACCTCCACATCTCCTTTACTGCAGCCTCGAGTACAATTTACACAGTATTTCTTCTAGGAATGAATTCTTCCTAGGAATGTTTGGCAGCTCCTACCTTTGTGTGCAAACAGGGAATTATGGAGAGCATTGGGAAGATCGGTTCTTTGCTTTTAGCTTTGTGCTAGGCCCCTCTTTTGTGCAGTACATCATTAAAGTCTTATTTTCCTCTTGGACTGTGTCCAGGCATTTTGTGGGGACAAGGCATGTGCTGTTGCATCAGTTCTGTGGGGAAGGCACATTTCTCCTGTGGCTCTAGGGAACCATGTACAAAAGGCCTCGGGAACTCTCTAAGAAGAGGCTAGATCTTACAGGCCTCTGTGCACATGTACAGAATCAGGTTTTGTTTTGTTCTTCTCAAACGCTTCTAATACAGGCACAGGTCTTAGGTCTAAAGGTCACCTCAGAGCAAAATTCAGAAATTTATTTATTTATTAAGGTTAGAAAACTTGTATCTAACTCTTAGAAGCAGTGAAATCTGTGTTCCTAAGACTTGAAAGAGTAGCTCAAAGTAGACACGAGACAAGATGAACAGATGCCAATGTAACGAGCAACTGCTTATAGTACTGCCTGGCAGCTCAACTGGTGACACAGAGCAGTTATTTCTCATGGGAAACTATGGTGTCAATTAAATAGGATCATAACAATTTTTAGCTCGAAAGTGCAGTCTTTAACTCCTCTGTCACTATGAAACTCCTAAGTAATACATGGAAGACAATAATTTGGTATGACAGCAATTTCAGTCTGTGATCGTGATAGCTAAATTGCATCAGTCAGCTTTTTCAGTAAGAGCATGAACTATTAATTCTAGTCCATTAGTTAAGAGGTTTGTTGCTCCACTGTGGGGTGGATTTGACACGTTTATTGTCATAATTAAAATGTATTTAGAGATTGCCTATATTTAAAAAGTCTTCTGACTTTGCCTTTTCAACGAGATTAAATTGCAGTGAGAATTGATTTCTAGGATTGTGATATGTCAGTAGTAAAATTTTTCATGTTATCAGTGAATGTTGCACTTGACACTGCTCATTAATGCATTTTAGTGGCTGAATTGACATATCTGTCTTGAAGCTTGTTAGCTTTCGTGCCCTGTGCTTGGCCAAAAGGTTTTTGTTTGTTTGTTTTTAAGGAAGATTCCAGAAGAGGAAAAAAAGCCCAAACCCCCAGCACTTCCTCCTCAGTTGCTTTGAAAATGTTTGTACAAGAATTATTATGTTCTTTTGCAGCTCATGAATATAAGAAGTGCCGTGTTTGTGTTTTTTAGGTAACTTTGTGAGAACCATTTTGCAGCCTGCTGTGGCGCTACTGGAGAGCGAAGCTGCTGCGCTGACTCCAGAGGGGCGAGCGAGCCGTGTTTTCCAGAGTTCTGCACCAACAGCTGGACTAGAGGGTGCTCTCATAAACCTCCCAGCAGCAGAAGATACATCTAAGAGTTGTCCATCTATCGCTCATGAAACAGCAGAAACTGAAATGTCACAGCAGGGAGAAAACTCTGAATATTCCTTTCTAGTAGTAAATGACAAAGAAGGACGCAAGCAACTTTTTGTGGATCTAGGTAAACATAAGAAGTGCTTTTAAACCTGTTTGGGATGTATATTGGAATGCAACAAAGGTTAGGAAATAAGATATTCCTTAATCTTTAATTACAGCACTGCTTGTGCTCATTGTGGTTCTCAAGTACAGAATTTATGCCAAATACCACACATGCTGAAGTGGTAATCGTAAAGGCAGAACTCTTTATGTTACTTCATTTAATACTATTGTCCTGAAGTTTGAAGAACTTCTGGCCACAGAAGACTCTCTTATGTTCCCAAGGACTTAGGGCATTTTACTGTTTCAGCTGAGTGGTTTAATCGTAGAACAAGTCTCAGAGGTGTGGCCTTCTGAATGGTTATGCACGTATGAATTTAGCTTTCTTCCTACTTTTAGAATGGCAGTTGTTGTATTTTGATGACAGAATAACAGAAACTGGGGCTGGGCACTTCTTACCCTAGGGCAAGGCAGGACCAGCTGTACGTACTATAAAAATGTTAAAAATTACCATCATCACAACTCCCACAAACTGAACGTGCGGTTTGAAAGTTCAAGTCCTTGGTTAGCAGTTTGGTTGGCAACTTTTAATTCTAAGGATCTTAGAAAAAATGTTTAATGCTCAAGTACTAAGTATTTTAAATCTTAGCCAGCTAAGAAACATCTGTTTTCCTGTAGGAGTTTATACAAAGAATAGAAACTTCCGGATGTATAAGTCATCAAAAGCAGGAAAAAACGTGATTCTGAAGATTGCAGAGGATAATAAGTTTGTCCCTACATGTCAAAAGAACATTTCTTTGGAAGAAGCATACTTTCTTTCCTCTTTGGTTTGCAATGTTGGGTAATGGTTAATTTTAAAATATTTTTCAAGATCCATTTCGCAGCAGTTATGAACAACTGTATTTAATGGGCAGGTGTTCCATAAACATATTGTTACAGTGTAAGTAGGACTTTCCTGTAAGATGCCTTGTTTTTGAAGAAAAAAATGTTGGGAATCCATTCTTTTCACCTACCTTCAGATGTCCTGCAAGTCTGAAGAACACAAAGCAGTTGGTATCATTTCTGAGCTCTGCTTTCTGCACACACTCAAGAGTTCTTTTTCATTAAGTAAAAAACTTACATTTGTTGTAACTTCAGCCTCTACCTCCCGAAATGCTCCCGCACTGATGCTGGTATCCCCACAGCGTTCGCTGTGCAGGGTACTCACGTTCTGGGTACCAGCCGAGTCTGTCATAATTATAGGTGAGAAGTTCAAGCGCTGAACTTAGCCTGACTTCTAGCTAGTAATACAGCAAGGAAAGGTAGCAGAATCATGGCTGAAGACCATCAAAACATATACATGCTCAAATACTATATCCAGAGTAAATACTTCTGTAAGACTATGGTCCAGAACCCTTCAGAGGGCTGGATATTGGGATTTTGCCAGGAAAACAATCTGCTATTTGGAAGGAGGAAGCACTGCCCACTGCAGGTGCAAGTCAAAGGAATCTTTCAAAATAAGGGGGAAGGTTGGGGGGAAGGTGTGTGGCAACTGTAGGCGCAGTGAAATGTTCTGTGTTAAAAAAACTGCATGTTTTTTTACCTGCATTCCCTCTTTTGTTCAGGTCTGGAGATGACACAAAAATTCTGACCTCTGATGCCTCAGAAGAGGAAAGAAAAACATCTGCTTTTTTAAACAGCAAAACTACTAGAAGTGCTAGAGGTACCTCAGGCCTTTTCTACTCTATAGGAAAAAAAAACAAAAAAAGGTCTTAACGGAGACGTGTGGTGCCCCGGGCGCGTGCTACCCTGCCTAGGGGCTGCGCTTGGCGAGCTCTGGCAGGGCCGGAGCGTCCTGTGTGCCATGGGGCCGCGTGCTCTGGAGTTAGCTGGATTCGTGGGCGTTTTCTGTCTATCACCTGCAGAATGCATAAGAATAATACATGTGGGTTTGTTTTAACAGAGTCCATTGAAGGCTATCAGGAGTCACCGTATCCAGAAATTGATTCTTTTGTTCGCTCTTTGGTTAATAAAGATGGGGTGCAAGGAGGTAAAAATAATCACTTTGCTATTGACAAATAAGTATTTTTAAACAGCATCGTTTTTAAACAATTAAACAAGTGCTTATTTTCCAGGGATACGGCAATGGAACTATTTCTCTCTGGAGGAAATAATCGTATATGATATTTCTGGTTACCGCTGGTGTGAAAATATTGGGAGAGCTCACAAAAGTAACAATATAATGTATGTTCTTTAACTATTCAGTAGCCACTTCAAAACAACTTTACTATATATTTTTCAGTGGTACTCTGTAAAAATGCTGTAAAGCTCTCATGGACAGAATCAGGACAAGTTATCAGCACCTGTTAACGATTTCTGCTGTTGTCCCACTGAAAAACATTTTTTTTTCTTAATTTTACTTTGTGACAACTTAGCCTGTATTTCTAATTTTTCTAAGAATGTGGCTTCATGCTGTTTAAAGTATGTGGCTACAGCTGTTAACATACAAGTTAAAGTATGTAAAAACTATTAAATGCTACTGTGCATTCATGCCTCTCACCTAGGATATTGAAGATAAAGAAAACAGGCCGTCTTAAAATTCATATTGAGTGTATCTTAAATTACATTCTTATGTTACTAAAATAATAAATCCTGACAGAGTTTCAGCCAAGGTGAGTTTTGCCAGTCAATGAAGACTCTCTAACTTCTCATATTTTTAGGAAAAGAATGTTGAAAAGTCAGGGTCTTTAGATTACAGCAGAAATGCCCCTAGATTGTCAGTAGAAATATTTACTGCTTAAAAAAGTATTTACTGCTTAAAAAAACTAGTTTTGTGTAAGCAACATTCAAAACAATTGAAAGATAAGGAATGTATTTGAGAAGTGTGAGTAGAACCTCCCCCCTCGCCCACCAGACTGGATGAACTCTTGAAGTAACTTGGAGCTTGGTGTTTCCGTAACACATCTGATGGACAACTCAGCGCTCTCAGTTCCAGAGAAATGATGATTTTTATCTAGCTTTTATAATGCAATTATCTTTAACAACAAGAACAAAATATTACCCTACAGTTACGTCATGTATGCTAATCTTTCTGTAGTGACTTGTAAGGAAGTTGACTAGATGTCACTTGATCTTGAAAGAAATGTATTTTTAATTTAAGCCTGAAATTCATTGGAAAAATAACAAGATCATGTTCAAAACAAGTATATAATGAATGGGTTAGCATATGAAAACAATATCCATAGTTGAAAAAAAGCTTTTTATTTAGTGTCGGACTAGCCTTATTAATACCATATATTTGCTTTAGGTTTTCCATTGCCACCTAGGATCTGTCTCCCTTTTCTTTTCAAAGAGGTATGTGTTTTTGTGCCTGCTTTGCTAAACATGCTAACGTTCTTAGGAGTAAACCTCTGTCTCTAGAAGTCTTTGAAAGTCCCTGCTACCCCAGTTTGCCCGTTGAACTCCACTGAGCAGCTGTGCTGGTGTAGAAGCTCCACGTATTAATTCTGAAGTTCTCCTGCAGCAGATCTAGCACAAAAACTGGCCGCACAAGTTCAGCCAGGCCTAACCCAGCTAAGCTAGTGAGGCTCCTGGGAGAACCCAGTTTCATGTGGGGCAAAGGTTTTCTTCTGTCTTTTCTCCTGAAGCAGCAGTGCCCATCAGGTAAATCCCAAGCCCACGAGAGTGCCCAAGTTAAGCTTATTCTGCACCTCTTTCCTTTCATATGAAGCCAGCTAAAATATTTTTAAATGCTCCTGGAGCACTTGAATGGGTCAAAAAAAATCCTGATTCCTGTGTTTGGCTGTAAATCTATCAGCATTAGGAACAAGGAATCTTAGAGATAAGGTAGAGCAAGAAGCAAAACTCAATGAGACCACACGTAGCACTGCCCCTGTGCTCGAAAGGCTGGTAAGAAAGCCAGTGAGCTGGCACAACAAGGGCGTTAACACAGAAAAGCATTTTGTACAGAAGCATCATCAAAAACCGAACCCTGTCACAGGTGTGTTGGCAAAACAAGCACACCAACTCTTTTGGTAACTTAAACAGCATTAGAGATAGAATTAGAGACAGTTACAATACTTGCTGTACTGAAACACAACTGATTAATACTTGATTCTGTTAATTTTAAGTCAGTGACCCTCAGACATGGAGGTCACTTAACTTAGTGATGTTTATCCACAAAGCTAGAATATTTACACTGACGTGATGTCCTCCCTAGAGCCCCAGCCCTGAACACAACAGTCCTTTCCCCAAAGTAGTTTACAAAAGCCTAGTTGCAATGTTAGCAGTGCTTAAGATTCACACTGCAAAGTAGTATATGAGTTTTGCTTAGAAAAATTTAAATACATTTTCAGACTTTGATATATCCTTAAATAGACTCTAAGATTGACTAGTTTTAGTGTTCTAGATTATACGGATTTCTACTCCTTCTTAAACAGCTGTCCATAGTGGACTGCATCTGTAAATTAATCTGCTAGGAAATTGTGCTGTTGGCCAACTTTCAATAGCATCCATTTTAGGTGACACTTGCAAAACTCCAATACTAATTTCAAATTTTCAAATCAGAGCAGTTAAGAATGATCATTTGCATATGGAATAAATAGCGACTTTGTTTCTAAAAGGAGGAAGAATATGCAGTAATGGATGAAAGTGAGAACAAAGAGGGGCATTCTGACCCTACAGATGTGTCAAAAGGCTCAGCATTTCAAGAAAACTGCGTGTCTAGAGACCTCCTGCTGGGAGACAGCGCATGGGAGCACGCAAACGACGATGCCTGGTTCCTGGAAGCTACTGATGATGTGGAGCTAGCTGAAGCTGCGAGTGATGGTCTGAATGGTGACACAGAAGAAATTCCTGATGAAGTTCTTCTGGAAGCTGTACGGAACCACGATTCCTCTGCCAAGAACCCAGCTAACCTGCGGCCCGGCTAACACACAAACGCACCCTGCTGAGGCCGGCTCCCATACAAGCGCCTGTCGCGCTGTCCGCAGCGGACGGCGCGGACGCGCTCTCCTCCTGCCAAGCTGCGCGGCAGAAACGTGTGCGTGGCTGCTCTCAGCCTCGAACGCCATCAGCCTAGGGAGCAAGGGACATTGCCCTGGGCTGAGCAGTGCAGGACTGCAAGCCCCTCGTGAACGCTGCTTTAAGGAGTTTAGCACTTTAATACCTGAGGCTTAACGTGTGTTTTCCTCTTTGGTTATCTCTGTGGCTGTTTTGTTGATGAGCTATGTAAAATCATTTCTTCAGTTCTAGAAGTGGAATTTATTTCATACACAAATTTAATGAAAAGCTTTATCACTAGCTTAAACAGTCTGTTCTCTTTATAAGTATATATTGGTTTCAAAATTACATTACTTACATACCCCAAGGAGCTGAAACTTCTTAATATAAACTTAAAACAGCAAGCTTATGTGATCTTAACAGGATTTGGTCTCATTAATTTCAACTGACACTCTTTGAAGAAGTCCTTATGTAGACTATTTAACAGTAGAAAGATAGTTTCTGAATAAGACACTAATTTCTTCTATACATTGAAGCCTAAGTACAGCAACAATGATTAAAAATACTTCAACCACTGTCCATTTTAGTAATTGTTTCCAAATAAATTCAGCAAGTCCATTAAAAAGCACTTAATGTTTCTTGGATAACTTCTGTCTCTGTACATCCAGTGCCTCTTGCAGCCTTGTATTAATATTCTTAAAGTGTCTTTCCGCACCTAGAATTCTCCTCGATTCCACAAGAAGAGCGGGGAGGCTGGAAGTTCCATACTGTTTTAAGGCAATAAAGTTACAAGACACTGTTTATAAACACATGAAAAACAACTGTTTCCCTATGTGTATTTATATTTCCTCCAGCTGAAATGGTGCAGTGTGACTTGTAAAAGTGAAACACAGCAAGTTGTTTAGAGGGTCTCCGGAAGCGGCAGGGTTTCCCTTTCGCAAGGCAGGCTCTAGTACTGTTGTCACAAAGTATCCCAGCAAGGCAGGAGCAGAGCCCCTGGAAAAGGGAAGGAGTCCCAGGGCTACAGGAGAAATTGAGCTCAGGATGAAATTCAACTGCTGGTCACTGTTACCCAACCTGTGCCCAACTACCAGAGCTATCCCTACCTTTGAGCAACACCACATTACTTGTTTCTTACAGCTCACCCTTCTTCAAGTTCTACAGAAAGTGTTAGACCTGAGCACGACAGTTATGTTTCTACATCCTGGACAGAGACCTAAGTTTGCAGAAATCTCTGACATTATTTAGTTTTCTAATATGAGACAAAAGTGAATGAGCCATTGCAGTATACCTAGGGCATTGATTTTGCAAGCTGGTTCCACAAAAACGTAATAAATAGTGATATTTTATTAACTATTAATAGAAGTGTTAGTTATTCACAAACAGTGAATGAACATGCAGAATTCTTTCTTACTGCAACTTTTTCTTCAGGGTTTTCTTCTCTGTAATCCAAGCATTCTTGCTGTAGTTCCTTTAAATCAATAAGGAATTGAGTTGCATGCCTCAGGGAAGACTTCCTCTCCTGTAACTGAGCATATTCTTTCTGCAGCCGTTTCAGTTGCTCTTCAGTTCTGAAAAGATCAATGATCTTTGATGACCACATTTGAGTATTTGTTTCAAGAGTTACTGTAAATATACATCCTCCAAGGAAGACTTAAGAGGTTGCTCAGAAATATAAGAAATAATAAGCATAGGGTAGTAAGACAAACTGTATAAGCAGAGTATACAGCATATTACTTAAACATGCGCGTGGATACAAACACACAAAAAACTCCAAACAAACAAAAACCCCACAAACAACCCTCTTCCCACATCTCACTTTAAAGATTTAGTCTAACAATAGCTCTAGTCTATCTTAAACACTTAGATTTTTCTTCCTCACATTTGCTCAGAGGCTCCCTTATGTACTTATCCGGAAGCATATTCAGGCTCTCTAACCTAGATACTCCTCTGCCTAAGAAGCTGAAGGGCCCAATCCATCATGCGGCCTTCACAGTGTGAGGAGCATTGCACAAAACTGAACAGCAACAGCCATTTTCGCTTAACTGTGTGACAACAGAAAAGCTTTCTTAAAAGAACAGCCATAGGGTTAAAAAGCAACCTAGGAGGCAGGAGAAGACAGCTTGCAGCCTGGGGGGGTGGTTCACACCCAGGCTCCTGCCAGATACCTTCATTTATTCCTCCTAGTGAGCTTGGCCCATAGTACTGTAAAGAAAACAAGGATGAAGACCTTTTAAGAAAAGGGTTGTTCCAAGAAAACCGTTTTCTAAATGTGTGTGTTTTGTATCTTAATGATGCTTAAGACAAATGCCAAGTTCAGGGGCACAAGGGGCAATGGACATTTCGGAGACATCCCTGCCATCCTGCAGAGAGGTGAAATGCATTCTCCCCCTGTCAAGAACATAACCCACCACAGGACCTTGCCAATTCTCATTCATCGCCTTGGAGATTCCAGTTGTGCCATTAGTGTTTTTCCTATGAACCTATCGTCTGAAATAGTCCCCCAATAGCTGAAGGTAGCGAAGAGTGCTTGTGACAATGACCACATCTAGGCAATGGAATTATGGAAAGGACAGGTTATTCTGAGCTTCTGATAAATGCAGAAATGGATACAGAAACAGGACTACTGGGGTTCAAAGTAAGATGAGAGAGCAAAAGTTACTGAGTTTTAAAATAACAGCCTCTGACTCATTAAGTTTTTCAGTTAGAGACATACCCCATTAACTCTTCGTTGACTTGAAACAGTTGCTGCCTTTTCTTTTTGATGTTTGTTATTACCTGCAACAATTAGTGAGAAAACTGCTTGAAAACTTTTCAGAACTTCAAAGGCAAACAACTTATATCTCACTGTTTTTTTTTTTGTTTCTTTTGGATTTTGTGCTTTTGATTCCAGGTATGGAAGATTCTAACACACCAGACCTTATAACAGTTAAATACTGATTGCAAAGAGCATGTCTCTGAATTGCTTATTTACTTAGCTGACTTTTCCAAATTTTAAGACTCACCTCTGTATGCTGCATGCTCACTCTAGCGATAGCACATCTTTCCAATACATATTTACCTTAGCATTTTTTCTCTTCACATTCTTTAATTTCTGAACTTCTGTTATCTACAGAGAAAAAGAAGCATCACAGATGGACTGCACACCCTTATTTCTCTATCCTCCCGAAAACCTGACTGCAAGAATTACTTTGGAATAATATGAAAAGCCACCTAAAAACTCTAATTCACAAACATATCGATTGTGCATCAGTCCTTTCCCCTCTTCCCCACACGGTGCCAGAGGAACACTGTGAACAAAATTAGTCGTCTTGTACCGGTTGGTGCAAGTAATACTCCCTAGAATATCTTTACTATCATTTTACATTTAATGCACAAAGCCAAAAACTTTGCAATGTATTTGCATGACAGCCGTGTTTTGTCTAAATGCAATTCTTACGAAAGTCAACACAGAGGCAGCAAGTCATAATCCACATACAATTAACTGTGCTTTTTAATTATTTAACCTGACAAGTGATACAGATTTTGATGTATGTTTAAAAGACAATATAAAACCATAGACATTCAACTACAATGCAGCCCTATAATCATGGCCACAAGATTATTCTTATTTACTGTATACTTACAAGATCAATGATTTGCTCCTTGAAACCAGAACAGAAGCCATCAATAGCTTTTCTGCAAGTACTGGAGTCTACTCTTTGTCTGGAGAAGTCAGAGAGATAAAACAAACCCGTCTGGTTTAGTAAAGGAGAAATTGCTTTGAGCAACAGGATCCATTGAAGACCATGTTCTATCTCTAGCAGAGGAGGAAACTGCAGCTCTTTTAGGTTTAGTAAAGGAGAAATTGCTTTGAGCAATTGCTTTGAGGATCCATTGAAGACAATGTTCTATCTCTAGCAGAGGAGGCAACTGCAGCTCTTTTAGGCAGTAGCAATAACCTAATTTCTCCACGGGAAATCATCATCTGAGAAACGTTCTTGCATTTAGAAAAATATCAAATCCTTGGAGACCAGCTCCCTAAGACTATGTATTAAAAAAGCAGTTGCACCACAGAATTCTAACCATCATTAAAATAGCAATAGAATATTACTACTAAGTAAGTAGTTTCCTAAATGACAGCCTATTAGCAAAACTGCATTTATTTTGCTTTTAAAACATTGAGTATTCAGCCACAGGAAAACAGACTACTTACTTGTAATCTGCTGCTATCTTCTCAAATTCAGCAAGACAAACATCCAGTTCTGTAATATCGTTAGGAAGTCTCTTCACCCCTTTGGGACACCAAACTCGTATAGAACCTGGACTATCATCAGCTGGAACAAAAGAATAAACAGGCACATTAGGCTGAAAAATTACCATTGACTACTCAAATGTTGAAATGTTTAAAACAAATCCATCTCATTTTTTCACCATTTCAATAAGAAAGCCTAGGAGCACTTTATTACACTAACTGATAAAGCACACAACCTACTTCTGTTTTTAACTGTTTTGTCCTGTAAAGACTGTCAGCCTGAGTCTAGGCAAGCTGCTTTACTCAAAGGAATCTTATCTGTATAAATTTCATATTAATACCAACCATGCTTTAAAAAAGAAGTCATCTACCATTATGTTTCTTTAAAATGCCATTCACCATTAATAAAGACAAGTAGCACAGAAGTTATGAAAAGTCTATTTTACCAGAAGTATCTAATGCACTCTTCCCTGAAGGACAATGCTTCTTTTCTTCTGGAAATTCAGTAGTCCTCTGAGCCTTCTGTAACATAAAATGCAAGTTTACTTCAAAAAATAAGTACTAGGTTCACTCAGCTAAAATTATGGAAGATGGCAGTTAGGTAGAATCAGGAATAACTTGACCTAAATTTTCGTGACGCTTGCTTAGACCTATGTCAACTGAGCCGCAGCACCTAAGAGCTCACAGTGCCGATGGGACGGGAGCTGCCGGGCTCAGGCGCTGGTCACGCAGGGGACGGAACGACGCAAGGAACGTTAACGCTGCCCGGCGCGGCCTGCCCTCTACCCTGCTCTGGCCACAACGCTACTCTTGTCTCTTCCTTTCACGCACACTACGGATTAACAAAGAATCAGAGTGCGGAAGCATCTCTGTTCAGAAGTCTGTACTTGGAACAGCTTTCACCTTTTGGACGTTCATCTTTTTCTTTTCATTCAGTGTCCTCTTTTCTGAAGCACTATTCCTTGACGTCAACGCAGACGGTGGCTTAGGTTTCCTTACGGTGGACCTGGAGCGTCTTGCTACCTAAATGGAGAACAATTCCAAGATATCATTAACATTTTAAAATAATTCTTAGCAGGAAACATTTAGTCTAATCTGAGGTTAAAAAGATTAGTCACTCCCAGTGTTAACAGCTCTCTAATCAAAGCTTTTTTACATGTATCTGACTCAATTCCTTCTCTACTTCCCAGGACACCAGCAGTAAACATACAATAATGCTACATACATGCAGTTTACTAACGAAAGACTAGCACTGTATTGAATTTTACAATATGAATTTCAACAATTCCAAATAATTTCCACATATTAAAAAGCTTTTTTTTTAATGCAAATTATTGCATAGGTTTTCATGTCCTAGGCCTGCTGTCTGAAGTATGCAGACAGGTGCTCTGTCACCGTGTGTCCGTAAGTCAAGGGGAAAAAAAACATTTCCCAGTACTTACAGCCTAAGCGTGGTAAAAACCCTCAGCCAAAAAAGCACCAGTTTTGAATAATGCTAACATATATTCAAAATCAGCTGTACTAGTGGAAAAAAAAGTCATTTCATAAGTATGTTCTAACTTCAATACTGAACAAGTGTTAGGAATTTATATTCCATTTTGTGTTTTATTCTTTAAGAACATATGTTTCAGATATAAATATACTTATTTGAAAGAAAGAAAGAAAGAAAAGCAAATAACATGTTCCACAATAGCTGTGGGAGCCAGGATAGCCGGTTATTGTGCTCCCTGTTGACATGCCCAGGGCACCTTAGAGCACTTCACTCTGTACTTGGCCACCTCACAGGAACAGTTTGAGGAGCAGCTACTGAGGATACGATTAAGACTAAGCACTAAGGAAAGGCTAAGAAACAAATTAAAGGTCTCCCCCTCCTCACCACTGCTAAAGCAAAGGAGGCATAGATGAAGTTAAAAATAAACTGATATATAAACGAAACTTTTTTCAATACCATATTCTCCTTAAGGGGCTCATCGTCAGAATCACCTGTCTGGAGCTTGGAAACCTTATCTTCAGACATTTTCAAGTGATGCCTTCTTTTACTATAAATAAATAAATAAGACAAGTAAACCAACCACACTCAGAAAGAATGTTTTTTCAGACATATAAACAACAAAATCTTAGGTTTGGGGGAACAGTTTGTACTGCTGTGTCAGAGTCTTTGTGGCTCCTAAATCAACTACACAAAAAGCTGCAAAAGGGATAACCCAACCTTTTTTCTGTACTTTTCTTCTGTAGATCTGACAAATCATTAACTGATTCATTCTCTGAATACTCTTCTCCATAAGCATCCACAGCAGTACTGTGCAAAGGGTGATCTAAAAAAGAAAGAAAACAACCTGCATGAAAATGGTTCCCATCTGTTCAGGCAAAAAGTATGAATATAACAGCACTGTTTTCCATTCAACATTTACTTAAAAATTTTGTGGTTTGTTTGGTCTTACAAAAGAAGCCTTGCTTAAATTATTATTTGAAGAGTAGAGGAAAAAGTTATTTTATAAAGCATATAATAAAAAACCTTCATAGTTTATATGTTCATCTACTTGCTATTCCTTTACAAACAGAAAGCATAAGTGCACGAAAACTCAGCATGTAAATATACCATAGAGCAAGCAAAGTATTTCATACAGTTTATTTAAAATATCTCTTTTTGCTATGGCAAGTATCAATTTTCTATACATTCATATGGCTACTTTCTAAATTCTAACTTTTCTCTCTTTTTTAGTGACAAGAATGATGGAAAGTGCTATAAGATGACAATTACTAGATGCTACAAAAGTTCGTAGGCAAGGCAAAATCCTTATGAACATTCCCGTTTGCTATCATATATGTTCTTGGAACAGCAGAAGTTTCACTTCACCTTTTGTGCTATTTAACAGAGCATAACTGAAGAAATGAAATAGAACCTTCTCTTTAATTGGAAATTCTTACAGGCTTGCAATGTCACATGGTATAAAATGTTGGGGTTCAGACTATAAGACTTGAGTGTTTGTTCATCAATTTTTATCCTGCATGTATCACTGTATTGTTCTAGTTACTTCCTAACAAGAAAATGTGAAGTCTCCAAACAAAATGTTTTCTCTCTCTCCTTCCCATAACTTCCTTGGCAAAGACACAATACCTTTTTCTAGATAAATAATGAGATATTTTGCATGTCAGGTAGTTCATGAAAGTCATACTTTAAGTGATATTTAAATTAATACCAACCAAATGAATCAACAGGCTCCTCAAGTTCCTCAGTTTCCGCAACCTTCAAAATCCTTGAAACGTCTGGCTCGTCAGGAGGAAGCAAATTCCTTCGAGAATGGGAGCTGGCTTTGTACTCCTGAGTGCACATTAAATCAATCAGCTCACTTCTTCCAGCTTTTTAAGTGCAAGACACAATAAATATGACAACAAATTTCAAGAACATTTGACCAGAAGTAATTTGGACCATACTGACTAATGAGCTACAATAAGAGTATTTGGAATATGCTTATATATTTTTGCCTCAGGCCCTACTTTTCCCATAGGAGAAGTGACAGGATAAAACTGGCTGTTTTGTATTACACTGTAGTATGAGCTTAACCTTAAAATACAGATGTATAAGTCAGATGTATACAGATGCATCAAATTTCCTTTTTAAGCTGCTCTCTTTAAACGTACACAACTATTACCAAACTTTTGCTGGTTTGAAAACCAAGGAAAACTCATTTGCTTGATCAAGTACTATTTCCAAACAACAAAAAAACAAACTAAAACAAAACAAAACAAAAAAAGCCCCAAGCCTTCAACAACACAGTTGTTTCCAAAAGAAAGTTTCCAATTTTAACGTGAGTTAAAGCTCTGCATTAGCACATGCACGTCAGCATATAGAATTGATGCTATTATGGTATGGCACATTCAACTTTACTGTTTTGATGAATCTCAAAGTAACAAAACTTACATTTAATTTATTTGTAGAACTCTTCTTAATTTTTTTCTTTGAGGACATTGTTACTAATTATAAAACGCTAAACACACAATTGAAGATAAACTACTGAGAGAGAGTCCCCAGAATAAATCCACTTTCTGTGTTTCTATACCTGCAAGGGGCAAGAGGGGGAAGCACACGTTAATTCAACGCCTGTGGTGCAACCTCTTGTTTGAGAGGCCGACCCGACACTGCGCGCAGCGACAGGCCGCGCTTTCGGGAAAGGCGACGCGAGAAAGGCGGCAGCTACGCTTCGTTTTACTTCGTTTCTCAGAGCTGCGGCCCCTGAGGGCTGACCTGGAGGAGCCACCGCCGGAG